TTAGAGATTTATGCTTAATGGCTTAATCTTTACGAAGGTTCATTGTCAACAGCGTAGTCTCTTTTTCATGTTGAGAATTACTTCCCATTTGACATATTTCTCATTTAGTGGGCGTAATAATCATCTTGGACTTAATGGGTTAAAGAATGGCAAAGACTAATGAATTTGGCTTAAAATGAACCAACCTACATAAAGAAAATGAGTTATATTGTTTGGGTTCAGTTGGACGTTATGCCGAATCTATTGTGTCAAGGGTTGTCTTCCATCAATTCATAATGTTTTGATGAGCCTTGAAGCATTTTTTCCTCCCACTTTGAGTTTACTCTATGATAAAAGAGAGGGGTGGTTGTTGTTTATTGTATTTATTGAATTTTGTCCAAATTGTTTTCGAAATCGTCAAGTAATCAACTTGCTCATTGATGGTTTTGGAGACGATTCCAACCTTCTCTTGAGGCTTTCCTATGACAGAGAAGTGTGAGAGGGACAAACAGAGTTCAGAATAACTTTGTCTGCACTATTTTCACTTCAGAGCACAAAACAAGATTTTGCATAAAATAAGGCACGACCGACCTTATTTAGGCCCGACAGGGCTTTATTGAGGGCCGACCAGTCATTAATGTTTAGTCAGCAGTATGTTTTGCAGAAAACAGAGGGCGGTGACTGAAGGTGAAACAGAGCAGCTAGACAGACAAAGCTGTTCTCGAACACTGTACATGTAACCTTTGTGCATCCTTGCTTACATCATTATTGTAGATTAATGCTCCGATTATTGTTGTAATTAATTAATTTATTATTGTTATAATTAGTCTTGTTAATTATTTGTGTTGTAATATTATTATTATTTATTTGTAATCGTTATAGCTAGTTAACTTAAATAGCTAGTTTATTTCTCATTATTATCATTGTTGTAATAAAGTAGATAGCTAGCTTGTCTCTTTAATTCATTCATTTGAATTTGTAATAGTTAGTTTATTTGGATACTCGGACATTCATTCGGACCCTCTTGCGCGAGGGCAAAAATATGTAATAAGCGTGTATGTTTTCCAACTCCCATTTCTTTCTCCATTTTATTTACCCGCTTATGATAGTAGCATAGAGCATCATATTTACTTAGCATTCCCATGTTCGCATACACTTGTTCCATGCACATTTGGGTTCAGCTCATCATACTAAACAGTGTCAATTTCAAATTCATTGCTTAAATATGTGATTTATCACATATCTTGAATGTAATCATATACCATGCTAGTAGCCGAGCCTATTTTCTTACATGATTGTATGTGTCACATTAATCGCTTTTCATAAATTAGGGGCATACATGTTTTCTAATTATTTTGCTATTTTTGGCTTGCCTTGGTGTATTAGGTGAGCATTTAATTACTTTAGCATACCTCATGCGTGTGATTGTTGCCATGATAAGCATGAATGCCATGAGGCTAAGTGCTTAATTGATATATCTGTTTGAATGTCTGTGGATGAAGGCTAATTGCTTGAATTAGAGTAAATTGATTAATGTACATACAAACTCACTTTTTCAAGTGATGCGTATTCAAAACACTTTTTTCAAACAAACATGAAATCAAATGTTCCAACTTTTACAAATTAGTCTATACTTGTGTACAGCACATAGTAATATTAGCATAATAAATCGGAACAAGAGCATATAATGCAAATAAGAATCACATCATGATTAATAAAGGCCGATCTTTGACCGGGTGAGTGGGGTGCTCAATTCATGACCTTTCCCTCTCATACCTAAGTTCCCGAGCCGAGACACTTTGGTGATGATAGACTAATGGCCTTTGGCACGAGTTACGAGTTTCCTAAATTTCTCAAAAATATTTAGGTGGCGACTCTGAAATCTGGTAAAGCAGTTCATTTTTTTGACATTGGATTCAAAAATCGATTTTCTAAAAGAATTATCGGATTTGGACTCTTTTGTGTTTTCACTGTTTCAGATTACACTTTATGAAATTAGATTCAAGAATCATGGGAGTCCAAACTGTAGGGCTAGTCGATTAGTCTATACTTGTGTGCATCACATAGTAAAGATAACATAATAATTGGAACAAGAGCATATATTGTACATAAGAATCACATCATGATTAATAAAGGCCGATCTTTGACCGGGTGAGTGGGGTGCTCAATTCATGACCTTTCCCTCTCATACCTAAGTTCCCGAGCCGAGACACTTTGGTGATGACGGACTAATGGCCTTTGGCACGAGTTACGAGTTTCTTAAATTTCTCAAAAATATTTAAGTGGCGACTCTGAAATCTGGTAAAGCAGTTCATTTTTTTGGCATTGGATTCAAACATCGATTTTCTAAAAGAATTACCGGATTTGGACTCTTTTGTGTTTTCACTGTTTCAGATTACACTTTGTGAAATTAGATTCAAGAATCATGAGAGTCCAAACTGTAGGGCTAGTCGTCTTCCAAAAGGAGCAAGAAAAGCAAGGTACACCTGTTCAACAACAAATCTGTACAGATTTGAGCCATTACAAAACTGTTTCATCATAAACAACAACAAGAACAATAGATAAAGAACTAGCAAAAAAAATAAAATAAAAATAATTGTGTTAAAAAGAAAAAACAACTACCAAAAAATTAGAACAATCAAGATCAGATCCAAGGCATCACTAAGCTTGAGAGTCGCTTTCTGGTTGTAGAGGCGGATAGATCAGAGACATGAGCCACAATCTTCTTGATCTTTATAGTAATCTTCAAACCTAGAGCCAGAGGTCCCCAAACCCGTTTAAATTGGTGAACTCTCTTAGATCTCTTAGATTTGTTCCAAAATCATAGATAGAGGTCTCCAAACTCGTTGCTAGGTTAGATTTGCCGATTCCTCCTCTCCTCTATCGTCTTCGGCAAATGTGTCGGCGATGGAGCATCGCCGAACCGCTCGATCAGAATGAGAACATGATCAACATGAAAATGCAGAGATGAGTCAAATCAATCAGAGTGCTTGAGATTCGCGATGAGTCTCAACCGGTCTTCGAAATGACCTTGTCATCGACGAGATTAACTGTCAAACCAAACTTTTTGGCATTGTTCGTAGCCAACGTAGTCATCGGATCCTTGATCGTCTTCAACGTTCCAATCAGATCGTAACTAGCTAGGGCATGATAGTGTAAAAGTGTGATCACCTCAGCATTCGTGAGCTTACTTAGATCTAGCAAATTCGAAGCCTTAAACGCTTTGATGCCGTCGTATGGTGGTGGCAGTGACCGTGGGGGTAGGTTCGGTGACAGTGAAAGAAAGAGAGAAACGGAGTGAAGAAAGAGAGTGAGAGAATGTTTGGTCTGAGGAGAGAGAGAGAGAGAGAGAGAGAGAATCATAAAGACAACATAAAGTGGGGGGATATTTTAATCATTTTACACGAGCTTGTTCCTATGAACATAATGTTTCAGTGTGGGGATTTTTGGGTAGAGAAAATATTAATTAGATTTATAAACTGAGTGCCTAAAAAAGGATGATATTTTAGGAGATAAAGTGAAATTAATCCTAGTCTTAAACCATAGTTAGGGCAGGACTTGACCCATCACATGCTGGGTGGGCCCAATACACCCTCATCACATGCTGGGTAGGCCCAAGACACCTCCGGTATCCACTGACTCCGTTTTCATCCTAGGTCCAATTAACAGACTAAAAATAGAAAAAAAAATACAGATAGTCCAACACCCAATTTTGGTGATTATGGTTGTTGACTGTTAGATGCTCAAAGCTCACTTGAATCTACTCACAAGTCAAACGATCTGAACCGTAGACGACCAACAGACAAAGACAATTTGGTACAACAAAGTTTAATGGTTGTAACAAACCCCTCTATTAATCTCCAATCATATTCCACAAATTAACTTTGAAATTTTCCACATAATCACTAAAACATCCCCCAAAATATATGATCTATGGTCCTTTGAAATTGAAACGTCAATTGGCCCGTACACAGCACAAAATATATTTTCTTTTACATATGCAAATATAATCATAACTTGTCTCCAGTTTTGAAAGAGGATTGGACCGGTGTTGTCTAGGTTTTGTTAGTCTTATTTTGATAATTTAAATTATTAATTTGTGAGCATTTAAGTGTAAATCATTTATGAAAAAATAAGATTGATTTGATAATTGTAGTCACACAATTTTATTATATTTATTTTTAAAATCATATTTGTCGTCCATTTTTTTAAAATCAAACATGACAAAATTATGTGGTTATGGTTATCAGATTAATCATTTTTTTTTCTCCATAAATGATCTATATAGAAGGACTTTTAAAATTAATGGTTGAAATCATTAAAGTGAAACCCAGGGTGAGCCACAAATCCAAACTCAAACCATTTATGGGATTGGAGACAATCTGGTCTCTTCAAATATAAATTTAGTAATAAAAATATATGTCAGTATAAAAGAATCCATTCACTGGTATTCTCATGTATTGATATTTTTATTAGAAGTAGATTCCATTGTGCAAACTTTTTGTTTTTTTAATATTGTTAGGTTGTGTTTAGATTATGAATTTAAAAAAGAAAAAAATATGAAAGAAATGTAAACGAAATATAAACTATTTTTTTCTCTATTTTTCTTCTGTTTTTAAGTTCCTATCCAAATTTATGATCTAGACACATGTACACATTTTAAATATTTTCTATAATTTAATTCTATGTAGTAGAACTATTTCATTTTCTTTGCAATACTTTAAAAATGAAGGGATTAGGAAAGTTGACTGGTAGGTTAAGTGTATTTCAAATTCATAAATTTTACTATTACATAACACACCAATTCGTAGCCAAATTTTGTCAAATTTGTCATCTTAACATTTTCCAATTTGTAATTCTCACTTCTACATTTTAAATATTTCTCTATAATTTAATTACACTCATTTCATTCTCTTTAGCAAAACTATTTCTATTTTTATTTTTTATTTTTAAATGAAGGGTTTAAGAGAGGTAGAGTTGACTGGTAGGCCAAGTGTATTTGAACCTTATATACAAACCAAGCTAGAAAGATGAAAGATCATTACTGGTCACTAAGTTGTAAAAATGGGTACCCAAAAATCCCAACTCACACTACTCCTTTTCTTGACCTTAGCTTCACTAACATGCCTCACTTCAAGCCTCCCCACTGAGTTCTCAATCCTACGCAACACGGACGAGTTCATCGCCGAGGAGAGAGTCTCTGAGGTCTTCCATAAATGGAAGGAGAGCCATGGAAAGGTGTACAAGAATGCAGAGGAGGCCGAGAAGAGGCTCGAAAACTTTCGGAACAATCTGAAGTTTGTGATGGAGAGGAACAGCAAGAGGAAGTCGAGTTCGGATCAGTTGGTTGGGTTGAACAAGTTTGCTGATATGAGCAATGAAGAGTTTAGGAAGGTTTATTCGTCGAAGGTGAAGAAGCCGGTGGAAAAGAGGATGACGATGGAGAGAAGGAAGATGGAGGGGAAGAAGAAGATGACAGCCTGTGAAGGGCCGTCGTGGTTGGATTGGAGGAAGTTTGGGATTGTCACCGCGGTTAAGGACCAACTAGATTGCGGTAAGTTTTCTTTTAACAATTCTGCTACGAAACACATAAATTAAGTACAGAATGAAAGACGTAATACATATTAATAGATATAATGTGTGTATAATCAATAATGTTAGGGATCATATAAAAATATATTATGAAATTTATTATGAAAATTTTTTATTTCTTAATTAATGTGTGATTAGTGTGTAGTATTTTATTATATGAATAATTTAAAAATAAAAAATCTTTCATAATTACTTTTATGATATTTTTTTCATAATCTCTACCACTATTCGTATATAATATGTCATGGTATAATAAGCCCTTTAAGTGACTTGGTACCGCTCTCGTGGCCTGCCCAGGAATAGTGCAAATTATAATTTAATCTATTTCAGTGAAAATTTTTATTTATTTGTATACCTAGTGTGCTCAGTTCCTTAACGATTTCTATATTGTTAAATTTATTTCTTCCTATATATTTATTTATCAATAAATAGTACAGGAAACGAATTGACAAATGGTCAAATTAATTTGTCGATGCATTAATTAGTTTGGTAGGCCCTACACTGAGCAATGCAGTACTGGACGCGTCTTTGATTTCAGCATGATTACTCAATCCCAATAGGGAAGAATTGTTCATTTTGTTAAAGTTGAATCGATTTATATTAATTTGTATTGTTCTATTTATTAATTATGATTTAAATTTTAAAATCTACAATTCGTCTTTAAAATAGTTCCGTTTTTTATAATCAATATATATATATTTTAATTTATAATGAAATATTAAAAGAAAAATGAATGTGAGAGAGATTTAATATGTGGAATTTATTATAAATTAATATTTATATATATATAAAATATTATGTAAAATTAGTGTTACATATATATAAAAAAATATTATGTAAATTAGTGTTATATATTATTCAAAGACTTGATAATTTATTAAAATATTTTTCAATCCGTCAATCCGCTCAAAATCTCTCGAATCGCAATTTGCTAATCTGTCAATCCGCTAATCTGCCATTCGGTTTAGGAAAATTTATCCAAAACCCTTATATTGGACCCTTATTTGGTGAAAATGACAGGTTAATTTATTTTGCTTCACAAACCCTCTAAGGAGAAAACACATAATTGAGTAAGGATAAAGTAAAATATCTTCTATTTTTTTTGAACAATATTGTCTGAATAATATGTTACTATGAATTAGAGTAACATGTTACTGTCAAACAGAATAATTGTCAAACAGAATAATATGTTACTGTTACTGTTTATATCAATTTTGACGATAATAAATTTTTTTTAAAAAAAAAATTCATAGTCAACATGGATCATATTTAATAGATCTTAATGAGAGAATTTTAAAAATATTAATTTTATTAAAAACTGACTTCTACATCAAAAGTTATATTATTTTAAAATTTAATATTTTGATAATAATGGTATGTGTTGAGTTTTTCAAGAAAACTTTTTATACTTGTCCTTAATGTATTAAAATTTTATTATGAAGGAGATTTATACCAAATCTCTCCTTATTTATAATTTTACTCTCAAACTGACCGCACCACGCCCACCCTAGGAACACCATTGCTTAACAAATATTTATGCACAAATCTCCTCTATAATGATATGGTACGGCCGTGCGGGGTATCTTTTGAAATTGTAAGTAACAACATGTAACTTTGTTTAAAATGAAAGGATGACAATAAATTCTTTTAATTTGTAGAATGATATGGTGTGGGTATTTGTTAATTTGTATAACATCACTTCTTTTTTTCATTTTCTTGTTAAGTATTAATTTTGGTGATTTTTATAGGAAGTTGTTGGGCATTCTCTTCAACTGGAGCCATGGAAGGAATAAACACATTGGTGACTGGAGATCTGATTAGCCTTTCAGAACAAGAACTAGTGGATTGTGATACAACCAATGATGGTTGTGAAGGTGGATACATGGACTATGCTTTTGAATGGGTCATTAGCAATGGAGGGATTGATACAGAGGCTGATTATCCGTACACTGGCGAGGATGGTAACTGCAACACTACCAAGGTCCTCCATTCACCTATTATTCAACTAGAAAAAATATTTGAATAAATGGTTAGGATTTGAAATATATCCCTCAGATTTATTTTAGATGTGACCCGCACCATATCAGCATAGTAGAACTTATGTAGCTACTAATCATATATATATTTAAAATTTTAAAAATTTGTGTTAGAGTATTTAATATAATTTCTACTTACAATTTGAGACAAAAATAACTTACATAAATTGAATGATGTGAAGAAAAAAAAGAGATGATTTTAACTTTTTCTTTTTAATTATTAACTTTTAACTTGCAAAAAGATGTATCAAAACAGGATTATACCAAATTTAAATTTACATCATGCATTCAAATTACCACAAAAATAACTTAAAATATTCTTTCTTTTTCTTTTTTTTGGGGGCTTTTTCTGAAATGGTGGATGAGAGAGGAGAGTTTGATTTTCACTTCAAATTGTCTATGGACATTTTACACTTCTGTCTAATCATCTTTGTTATGTTCATTTAGGAGAAAACATATTATGTTACAATTGATGGATATGAAGATGTAGAAGAAGATGAAACTGCTCTGTTTTGTGCTGTTCTTAAGCAACCTATCAGTGTTGGCATAGATGGTAGTGCCATAGATTTTCAACTTTATACTGGGGTAAGTCTACTCTAATTGTTGTTTCATTTCACAATCAAACTCATAAAAAGTCCCTACAATATATGATTTGTCGTCATTATGATATTTCAAGCTTTTCTTTTATTTATTTCAATTTTAGTAAGTTGGTTCAATTTCAGTAGATGTTTCATATTTTGATTTCTACAATTTTAATTTTGATTCTAAAGATTGTATGACCACTCATCATCTTTATCAATGTTGAAGGATAAAATCAACAAGATTGAAACCTAAAAAACTAAAATAGTAAGCAACACATTTTAGGAAAGGTTGGACTCCGTTCTTCGTCTGGATTAAAAAATGTTGTTTGAATTTGTAAGGTAGAAAACATCTTTCAAACTAAAATATTACTAATGTCACCTTATTATCACGACCACTTTTATCTCCACCACCATCACCATACCACCACTACTATTACGACCACTTTTACCTCTACCACCATCACCATACCACCACTACTATTATCATCATTATCACCACTTTTACCTCTACCACCATCACCATACCACCACTACTATTATCATCATTATCACCATCACCGCATCTCACCACCTCTACCTTTATTCCACCACCCAAAGATAGATCTACCGACAGAAAGAGGCGATTATACCCCCAAAAATAAAACAACTATTATATATTATATTAAAAATTTTAAAATTATAAAAATTCACGCTTTAAACCTACTTTCACATTCCCATATCAATAATCCTAGATTGGTCCATATCATTACCACCACTACTAAACATAAGCAAAAAAAAAAAAAAATCCTAGATTGGTCCATATCATTACCACCACAACCAAACATAACCACAAAAAAAAAAAAAAAATTCTCATAATTTTTTTTTATTCTTTTATTTGTTTATTTTGGGTCCAAATAAACGGAATTTAGGCCTGGTTTGGCATCTACTATATAATCCATCTTTTTATCTTTTTATCTTTTTTTCATCATATCACCTCTCTACTTTTTTACACATCTTTTCATAAAAAAACAAAAAATACACTTTTTTAGGACATCCCAAACCAACCCTAGTTAAAATTTTTTGACTAGCAAAGTGACAAAAATCACAGATTTCATCCATCATCCCCACTTGAATCCACGAATCATGTGGCCACAAACCAACCACCCTAACAAAAACGACATGAAAAAACACAGGGAATCTACGATGGAGATTGCTCCGGTGATCCAAACGACATAGACCACGCCGTCCTGATCGTCGGCTATGGCTCCGACGGCGATGACCAGTACTGGATCATCAAAAATTCGTGGGGAACTACTTGGGGTATTAGTGGCTATGGTTACATCAAACGCAACACTTCCGATCCCTTCGGTGTCTGCGCAATCAACGCCATGGCTTCTTATCCAACCAAAGAGTCCTATGCCCCATCCCCGTTGAGTCCTCCTTCGCCGCCTTCACCGGCCACTCCGCCGCCGCCTCCTCCTCCTCCTCCTCCTCCTCCTCCGCCGCCGTCTCCTTCGCCGAGTGAGTGCGGGGACTACTCGTATTGCCCTGCGACTCAGACATGTTGCTGTATATTTGAGATATTTGATGTGTGTTTCGTCTATGGTTGCTGTGAGTACACGGATGCTGTGTGCTGTACTGGTACTGATTATTGCTGCCCTCATGATTATCCTATTTGTGATGTTGAAGAAGGGCTCTGCTTCCAGGTATCAAATTCTATCAATGCCTCAATTTTAGCATATTCAAGCAATTTTTTTTTCTTCATCTTATTTGATTTCAAATTTGATTAAAAAGCATGATTTTATATGGACTACTTCTAATACTTTCATCAATTTACATGATCATTTCACTTTTCGTCAATTTTGATGAAAAAAAAAAATTCTTCAATGCTTATCTTTTTAAATTTTTATCAAATTTAAATTTGAAGGGTGATGACTGATACGAACGAGCTTAACAGTTAACTATTTAAACTTTGGTTTAAAAACTTTAGCGAGTTTGTTCAGGTTGATTTGTTAAACTTTCAAGCCAATCTCAAATAATTTTTTTCAAACCGAGTTAAATAGTTTGGTATTTTTATATAGTTTTAGGTTTATTGAACTCAACTGAATGAGTAATTAACCGTTCAAAGTTGGTTCGTAAACTTTGACAAGCTTCGAAATGTGTTCAAGTTTAACTTGTTTACTAAATGAATTGAGCTCAAACGAGCTTTTAATGAGCCAATCATGAGTTGAGCTCGAGTTCTTTGGTTTGTTTACCACGCCTAAATTTGATGGAAACAATGACTCTACTTGATTTGACGAACATTTGATGAAAGAATTGTAGATGACTTATTAGCACTTTTTGATCAAACCTATATTTGATGAAAGAAAAGGTATGATTGGAGATTATCTAAGAAATTCATTACTTCCTTGAGTTGATTCTAGTGAATAATCGTTTAGAAAACAATTTAGTGCACTAAGATATGATATATTGAGAACAAATTGTATGCAACTTTATCCTATTTCTCGTTTCGATGGCTCGAACCAGCACCACCAGAAACGTTTGGGAAAAAGCTATTTTAATAACATTTTGACTTTTTACGAAAATATGTACAAAAAAATAAAAAAAGTGATGTGACAACTTATAGTAACTTGTTAGCTTTTTGGCTAAAAGTGAAAGTTCCCAAACCAAGATAGTCTTTTTGTTTTTTGTTGTGGTATCTAGGACTACAAACAAGTTGATCTTTTGGGTGTTTGGGCTCAACTCGCAGAAAATTACGAATAGTGTTCAAGCTTATTAAAAATCATTCTAGCTCGACTTGTCTAGTATTTGAAAACTTGACCTTGGTTGATTGAAAATTAATCTGTCTCATCTAGAATCTGAAAACTCGATCTCAACTCGTCTAGTATTTGAAAACTTGAACTTAGTTTGAGTTAATTCGATTGCATAAACAAGTTGAGCTTGAGCTCAGTTCAAAAAATCAAATCTAAATTAATATGCACATTATTAATAAAAAGGGTTTATTACTCTTTATACCCTTAAATTATTGTTAAATTATCTATATAGTTCCTGAACTATCGATTGCGTCTATAAGGTCCCTAAAATATATAAATAAAAATCTACTTAGTCTCTAAACTATTGATTGAATTCATAAAGTCACTAAAATATTTAATTCAAACTTATTTAGTCTCTAAGTCCGTAAATATTATAAATTAGTAAAAGACAATCTAGTTAAAATTTTATTTCAAAAAAATTTAAAATTTTTATTCTATCTTTGAAAAGTGGGTATCAATACATATATTAAATTTCCTTTATAAAGATAAAGGTAATTATCTATAGTATTTTATTACTTATCTTTTACAATGGATACGTGCTTGCTTTTATCTAATATTATATGTTAGATTTTGTTTATAATTTCTAATTGATTGTTTTAAATTTTTCGCTAAGTTCTTTTTATTACTTATTAATGTATTATTTTGTTCTATTACTATTTGTAGAGAAGCGTTATTATGTAAATTATCTAATTCTATTTTTTCAGGATATCTAATATTCATATAATTTATTAGCAAGATTGAAAAATCAGACTCTAATATTAATTTAAACACATAATGAAATAAAATACCTTTTAAAGACAAAATAAAAATTTAAAAGATTTTTCTATAATAAAATCTTAATTGGGGATAGTCTTTTACTAATTTATAATACGTATGACCATATATTTTATTTTTGTAATCCTTTAGGGACTAAATAGACTTTGATTTATATACTTCAGGGACCTAGGAGACACAATCGATAGTTCAGGGACTAAATAGACTTTGATTTATATACTTTAGGGACTAAATATATTCAATCGATAGTTTAGGGACTAAATAGACAATTTGACGATAGTTTAAGAGTAGAAAGCGTAATAAACTCATAAAATAAAATAAATCTCATATTATTAATAAATGATTATCAGTCAAATATGTAAATTGTACAAACATCAAACATAGATAAAAAAATGAAATGAATTAATAAAAAGTATAATTGATATATTATGAATAAAAATTAATTTATATATATTCTTATGTTTGCGAGCCTATTCAACATGAGTCTAGCTCGACTCAATTATTAAAAAGCCTAAAAAATTTGACTTGACTTTGTTCATTTAGTAAAGAAGTCGAGAACTCAAACAAGTTTTAAAAGGGCTGAACTCGAGCTGTTTATAAACAACTTGATTTGTTGATATTTAAGCCTAATGTTTGTTCTAAATTATATGCCAACCACAGGTTACCAATTTTTGTTGTAATTTTTTTGGTTTTACAGAATGCTGGAGACTACGTAGGAGTAGCTGCAAAGAAGAGAAAGATGGCCAAGCATAAGTTCCCATGGACTAAATATGAAGAAACAGAGCAGAAGAACAAACCTCTGGAGTGGAAGAGGAACAGCTTTGCAGTGATGCGCTGAGAAGCAGGGGAGTTGATAATTCATCGCTTGTTCGATGTCTGAGGGTTTGTTGTCACCATTGATATATTGTTTTCCTCCTCGCAGGAACATTTATCATATTGTTTTGAGAACATATTTCATCATCGGCATTGAAGTTGTGTATGAAGCAAAATATAGAACCATAGACACCGGGGAAAATATATATTTTTTCTCTGGAATCTGTATTTTGTGACATTTTTTCATTGATGTTTGATGTTTTATTTGTTAGAGTTTATTTTCTGCATACTAGCTTAAAATTGTTGTCAAGGGCTTGTAATGATCACAAGGGCTAGTGGATTGGTCTATGAGAAACATGTTTTGTTGTTTAAACATTTCTGGTTTGAAGGTTGCGATATGAATAATACTTGGTTGAGTGTAGGATGCCTACTTGAGTCTGCCATTCTGTTTGGTTCTTGAGAAAAGCAGAGAAAGTGTGAAAAACTTGATAATTTGAAAACCTAGAAGAATGTTCAAGAAAAAGAAATCTCTTTATCCTTTGTACCCCTTTACCCATTTTGAACCAAAATTGGTGTTATACAAGTTGGGAAAATTATGTAATCGTTTTGAGGAAATTATATGTGGTGCCAATTTGTTTTTATTGGTTTTAACTGTGGGACATAGAACTTTTATGTTATTTTTGCAGAAAAGTTGGGAACTCAGAATTTCAAACATGAAAGTTACCCAGAAAGTGTGGATGGTGTAGATGCAAACTTGATGTATTATGGGCCACCACTAGAATAAATCTAGTACACACATTTTGAATTCGGGATACTTTCTGAATTTGTAGTATTACTTTGTTTTTTGGGAGACAAGCGCAAGTGTCACAAGGTGAATGGTGCGGAGCATTGCTCCAAGACCACCCAATAACCTCTCCTACAAGTTGTTTGGGAACTATGATTGGTCCTAGTGCACAAGGCTCGTATTTACGGTCAAATCAGGAGAGGTAGTAGATAAGCCGTTGCTATAGAATACAAGAAGAAGAGAAAAATTAAAGCATAACAAATACATAGGCATACAACGATTCACATGATTCAACTATAACCTTACTTTCACCACCCAAGAACAACAAAGAAGTGTCAATATGATTGTAGTGATTGCAATAAACCAACTCTCTATAATCCTATATATACAAGGATCTAAAGCTCATAAGATCATCATAACACTAAAACTCTTAAATAACCCTACATACACAAGGATCTAAAAGTAGGAGACCGGGTTAAAATATATTCAAATACAACTACTGGAGCAGGACTAGTGCCCGTTAATCGAAGATATACGAGGAAACCCCACATTTACCCATTAATTGGGGTAGTGTGGGTTGCCAACAGATAATTTTTATAATCCGAGTCAAATTTGAGACATATCCACAACAGGGAGTCATACCTTCATGTTTTTGTTGCTGAGAAACTATGCATTAACATCAACAAAATTTCTTAGTTTTGTACATTAGGCATTTGCATAGTGAAAGTGAATTAGGGGGTCATGAATGACAGCTAGCTGAGTAGGATGCTCTTGGGAAGAATCCAAATTTGATTCATTGATATAGCTCAAAAGCTCTTGGGAAGAATCCAAATTCTATTTCATTGATAGAGCTCAAAAGATTTCACACTATCCCTAAATGTGATCACAGATGGTACATAGTGATAGTACTTATTGACCGACAGAGAGAGGATAGGGATGCTTGATCTATCATATCGCTATGCTCTGATATTTGTTTTCTTCTCTTTTGTGAGATGCAAATTAGAGAACAAAATTGAAGGATGCTTTTGTTGTGGGGAAAGTATAGTTTTCTTTTTCTGTTTTTTGTTAGCGATGTTTGGTAAACTATTTTTGAGAATTTTTTTTACATACAACTCATTTTTTAGGAAATACTGAAAATTGAGTTTCCAAACTCTTAATTGTTTTTGTTTTTAAAAACATAAAAACAAAAACAAAAACAAAGATTATAAAAATGATGCAAAATTGTTTTTGTTGTTGAATGTTGATCTTGTTGAGGCATGTATATTATATCCCATAGTTTGTTTATTTTTATTTTTTATTTTTTTTGAAAAAAAGGAAAGAAAGAAAGAAAGGAACAAGCCATGAAGGTTCATGGTAGTTTCTTTGAACACTATATAGAACAGAACTTGCCTAATTATGAATGTAGTGTTGAATGGATCCTCTTATCTCTAAACCCCATCATTATATGTTAGGGCTCAATAAAAATCAGAAGTACAAAAAAACCATGTTGTAAGATAAATTGATATAGAGAGAAATTGTATGTATTATGATTAATGTTATTGATATATTACAATTCCTATATATAGAAGAGACGATGGTAGTAGGTGTAGGTGGTAGTGGAGGTGGTAGGTGGAGTGGGTGGTAGTGGAGGTGGTAGGTGGAGTGGGTGGTAGTGGTAATTTACATTTACACAATTTACATTAACAGCCCCCCTCAAACTCAATTGATTGTATTATTGATTGATGTATTGATGTATATTACAAATGGTGAGGGGTTCTTTATATAGATGTAGGTGTAGGGGAGTAGGTGGTGGTAGGTGTAGTAGGTGGAGTAGGTGATGGTAGCTGATGGTAGGTTTGGTGGTAGGTGTAGTAGGTGATGGTAGGTGATAGGTTTTAACAGTCCCCCGCAAACTCAAGGGGGATAGGAACTAACCAACTTGAGTTTGGAGAGAGTAACAAAACAAGAAAGAGGAACAAAAATTTCATTACAGAAGATCTCTGGTATTTTTTGATGGTAGTTAATTGTGGTGGAATTTAAAAATGGTGAAACAATTGAATGAACAGTAGAATTTGAATTTGTAACTTCCTAGTAAGGTTCGTGGACATGAGTCACTGAGCTAACCCTTGTGGATGGATTAAAGACATGGATATTTTAGCCACAAAAGATAAAATAGGTTATTTTAGTCATGACAAACAAAACATCACATCCAACCTATAATTATTATACTTTTCTCTAAAAAAAAAGTCCAAAAAGTCAAAAAGCCAAAAAGTCCTTCCCAAACCAAACTTTTTAGCCCAGGCTAAAATAAGCAAAAAAGTCAACCCACTTCCCAAACGACACCTAAATTGCACCCACTACTTTTGATATTTAGGAAAAAGTACAAATAAGTTTTATAAATTTGACAGGATTACATTCACTTCGTTTTTAGTATAATTGAAACGATCAAAATTAATATAAACAAGGTTTAAATACGAGAATTAATCAAGTAAAATATAAAAAATTATATTGATAAAAAGGATATTAAGGTCTCGTTTAGGAATATGTTATTTTAATAATTTTTTAACTTTTTACAAAAAGATATGCATAAAAGTAAAGAGAGCGATGTGATAACTTATAATGACTTTTTAATTTTTTTGACTAAAACTGAAAGTTGCCAAACAAGACCTAAAGTGTTATATAAATTAAAACATTACAAAAACCTAATTTTCTTTTGACAAATTTATAGAACTCAATATATTAAGGGAAATTTGGCTATAAAACCCCTTTACCTTCATTTCATTGTTAAAAGGATTAAGAAAAAAATTATACTTTCTAAACCTCCTCATAATTATAAAATCTTGTATAAAGGACAAAATTTATTATTTAAATATTTTATTAGACTATTATACCCTCAACTAAATTTTTCTACATTCTCGACCCACTCTCTCCCCACCTTCTCTGTCTTTCTCCTCCATCTCTCCCTTCTCTAACTCCTTCAGATCTGGAAGCTTCAGACCTCCCCAACGCCGCCGGCGTCATCGTCATCACTCTCCTAGCCAAGTCCAGTCAGTTATCAGGCGAAACTCTGGCGATCAACAATGTCGAAACCGATCTCTACGATGAACTCATCAAGAACATCGGAAACGAAATCAACTGCGGGCCGGAAAATTATCCTCCGGTACCGGAATCGAAAGAGATCGTCTACGAGGAGAATAATAATAATAAGAAAAATAATAAAAATAATGGGACACGTGGGTTGCTTGGTGTGGTGTTGTCGGTTTCATTTCAAAAGAGGGAGTAAAATAATAAAAAAGAAAAAGAAAGTTAAGTGGGTTTTTAAAAGATGGAGTAAAATAATAAAACAAGAAAAAGAAAGTTAAGTGGGAGGATTCTTGAATTGGGGTTTAATTTATCCTCAGAACAGAGAGAGAGGGAGTGGGTTACATCTGTTCTAGGGCGAAGATGAACATAGTCTCTGAGAAACTCAAGAGTCAGCCTGGTCTTAGGCAATGGATATTTCGCCGGATCCACAGTCCCCACATCGAGAACCTTCAAAACCCTAAGCTCGATCCTCTGCTTCGTCCCTTCCGGCGGTAACTTCAGCTCTCCTTCCACGTGCACGCACGTGCCGGTAGCCACCAGCTGGCTGAGCGGAGCCACGGCGGCGTCAACCATGACCTGGAGGTTGGCTGGGCACGAGTCGTCGTTGAGCTCCAAGAAAGCAAACGAGCCCTTGCCTTGCTCGCGACCGGTCTTGACCCAGCCGCCGACTCTCACCGTCTTCCCGGAGAGACCGGCACCGCCGTCGGGGTGGCCGATGATGCTCTTGATGAGGACGCGTTGAGAGAAGCTGGCCTCTTCGACGGCGTCGGAGAGGGACACAGCGGATATCTGATCCACCGGTGGCGGAGCAGAGGCAGCGGACATTGAGGATAAATGTTGCCACCGTTGATGGCAAAGAACTCGAAGCTATGTGTAGAAAATTCCAGCGGGCAGCGAAGGCAAAGTTGCCGGCCGGCTGCCCGCCGGTGAGAAAGAAAATACAGGTCTAAATCTTATCGCTCTGATACCATGTTAAAATACAATGTATAAAATTGATTGTATTATTGATTGATGTATTGATGTATATTACAAATGGTGAGGGGTTCTTTACATAGATGTAGGTGTAGGGGAGTAGGTGGTGGTAGGTATAGTAGGTGGAGTAGGTGATGGTAGGTGATGGTAGGTTTGGTGGTAGGTGTAGTAGGTGATGGTAGGTGATAGGTTTTAACACATGTTTAGTTTCTTTTGTGACTTAAATTTTTGGGCTCAGCCAACATTTGCTCTTCCTGGCATTTCTACACTAATCTATGGAGAATGTGTTCTATTAAAAGAAGTGAATTTATATACTCTGATCTTTTGCTCTTCCTGGTATTTGTGAATCTCATTTTTCCATAGAGACAAACAATGCTCAAAGCTCAACTTCTTGCTGGCCTAGATGGTCCCTAGCTTAATTAGAATAGAGGGCAGTTGTTATCATTGAAAAAATTTCACAAATTGAAGGTTTCATTATGGTTGGCATGGGATTTTCTGTACCTAAAATTTGTATTCTTCTGGATTCGGTGCACTTTCAATCAAAGGATCATGGCTCGAAATTTGCACAATATTATACAATTAGAAGTGTATTGAGTATAGAGGAACAAAAATTTCATTACAGAAGATCTCTGGTATTTTTTGATGGTAGTTAATTGTGGTGGAATTTAAAAATGGTGAAACAATTGAATGAACAGTAGAATTTGAATTTGTAACTTCCTAGTAAGGTTCGTGGACATGAGTCACTGAGCTAACCCTTGTGGATGGATTAATGACAAGGATATTTTGGCCACAAAAGATAAAATAGGTTATTTTAGTCACAACAAACAAAATATCACATCCAACACATAATCATTATATTCTTCTCTCACAAAAAAGGTCTAAAAAGTTAAAAAGTCCTTCCCAAACCAAGCTTTTTAGCCCAGACTAAAATAGCGAAAAATGTTAAAAAGCCAAAAAGCCAACCCACTTCCCAAACGACACCTAAATTGCACCAACTACTCTTGATATTTAGGAAAAAGTACAAATAAGTTTTATAAATTTGACAGGATTAAATTCACTTCTTTTTTAGTATAATTGAAACCATCAAAATTAATATAAACAAGGTTTAAATACAAGAATTAATCAAGTAAAATATAACAAATTCTATTGATAAAAGGATATTAAGGTCTCGTTTAGGAACATGTTATTGTAATAATTTTTTGACTTTTTATAAAAAGATATGCAGAAAAGTAGAGAGAGCGTTGTGATAACTTATAGTGACTTTTTAATTTTTTGACTAGAACTGAAATCTACCAAACAAGACCTAAAGTGTTATATAAATTAAAACTTTACAAAAACCTAATTTTATTTTGACAAATTTATAGAACTCAATATATTAAGGGAAATTTGGCTATAAACCCCCTTTATCTTCCTTTCATTGTTAAAAGGATTAAGAAAAAAATTATACGTTTTAAACCCCCCCAATAATTATAAAATCTTGTATAAATGACAAAATTTATTATTTAAATATTTTATTAGACTATTATACCCTCAATTAAATTTTTCCACATTCTCCACCCACTCTCTCCCCACTTTCTCTGTCTTTCTCCTCCCTCTCTCCCTTCTCTAACTCCTTCAGATCTGGAAGCTTCAGACCTCGCCAACGCCACCGGCGTCATCGTCATCACTCTCCTAGCCAAGTCCAGTCAGTTATCAGTCGAAACTCTGGCGATCAACAATGCCGAAACCGATCTCTACGATGAACTCATCAAGAACATCGGGAACGAAATCAATTACGGGCCGGAAAATTGTCCTCCGATACCGGAATCGAAGGAGATCGTCTACGAGGAGAAACAGATCGTCTCTGAATTGATCGCTGTTACTCCGAAGAGCAATGAATTGATCGCTTAGTTTTGAATATATGTATATATATATATTTGTGTGTATGAGTGTTGTTGAACACATATATTCTTTTCATTGAGATTTGTGATTGTTAATCGAGTTTTAGAAGTTTTTCTTCTCAATTAGATATGTTGATTTGTTGATTAATTTGTTTTGTTTTTGTTTGTTTGTTTTTTTTTTTTGATTTATTTTTGTTGTTTTTTATCTAAATTTCATTTGACAGAACCATAGTAAAATTTTACTCTGGTTCTATTGCTCTGTTTTTTGTTTCAGATAATGAGAGTAAAATTTTACCCTTGTTCTTTTGCTCTGTTTTTCGTTTGAGAGAATTAGAGTAAAATTTTACTCTAGTGTTAGAATGACAGTAAAATTTTACTATCAAGGGGCGGTCATTGCCAAACACTTCAGACGCCACAAACACTGCCTTCGCTTTTTTACTTTTGTGCAGAGTAACATTTTTATTTTAGTTTCAGAGTTTCACAGTTTACTCGTTTTTCAGAGTAAAATTTTACTCTGGTTCTATCGCTCTGTTTTTTGTTTCAGATAATGAAAGTAAAATTTTACTCTTGTTCTATTGTTCTGTTTTTCGTTTGAGAGAATTAGAGTAAAATTTTACTCTGGTGTTAGAATGACAGTAAAATTTTACAATCAGGAGGTGGTCATTGCCAAACACTTCAGACGCCACAAACACTGCCTTCGCTTTTTTACTTTTGTGTAGAGTAACATTTTAATTTTAGCTTCAGAGTCTCACAGTTTACTCGTTTTCCAGAGTAAAATTTTACTTTTGTACAGAGTAAAATTTTACTTTTGTGTAGAGTCTAACATTTTACTAGTTTTTCAGAGTAAAATTTTATTTTTATACAGAGTAAAATTTTATTTTTATCTTCAGAGTCTCACAGTTTACTCGTTTTTCAGAGTAAAATTTTATTTTTATACAGAGTAAAATTTTACTTTTGTGTAGAGTCTAACATTTTACTAGTTTTTCAAAGTAAAATTTTACTTTTATACAGAGTAAAATTTTACTTTTAGCTTTAGAGTCTCATAGTTTACTCGTTTTTTAGAGTAAAATTTTATTTTTATACAGAGTAAAATTTTACTTTTGTGTAGAGTCTAACATTTTACTAGTTTTTCAGAGTAAAATTTTACTTTTATACAGAGTAAAATTTTACTCTAAAATACATAGTGAAGATAGTTTAATAAGAGAGCTGATAAATATGAGGGTAATATAGTAAAAGAAACAAGTTTTAAAATATTAAGGAGTTTTAAAAGTACTTATACAATTCTTGTCCTTTTAAAAGACAAATTAAATAGTGAGAGAGTTATCACCAAATCCCCCGTATATTAATGTAATTTACCTAATTATTTTTATTGGTGTTCCATCATATTTCTAGCGGCTATCATTGATAAGGAATTGTCATGGTTTGGATGGTCCCACTCAAGCACTGAAGAGAGTGCATAGCATACATCATTTTCAAATATGCAGACCCATTTACTCATTTTAAAAAGAATATGTTTACTGTTTCAGACTTATCCATTGATTTTTTTTGAATAGATAATTATGTGGCAGAGATTAAGGCTTTAAGCTTAGTTTGATATGTTAAAAAAAAAAAAAAAAAATTCAAAAGGTCACTATTCTATTTAAATCACATCATCTTATTTAAGTCATATCACATCTCTAACACATCACTTCAAATCCAACCCAAACTCAACCCATATTTCATAAAAAATTAAAAAATACACTTTCATAAATTTATAAGATGATAATTTGAATAATTTATAAATTGATAATTCTAAATTCGTAATATTACTGTTTTGAAAAAATAGCCTGAAATTCACAATTATGAAGCAGCAGGGCCAGGCCCAAATACTATCAAAGGCAGCTTCCTTTAAATTTAAATAATATTTATTATTTTTCTTTTTAACATTTTACATCTTTTGAAAAATATTTAGGATGATTTTCATAGGCACATCAATTCTTGTAATTAAGATGGGATTTATCACTTTTACTGTTTGGAGAATCTTTAGAAAAAGACATTTATATAATTTGTATATAATATATATTAATGTCGAATAATACAATTATCACCTTTTTTAACTAATGAGTTTACCAAATTACCCGCGATCTTCCAATGTGTAATTTAAGTATGAAATATAATGTGATATTTAGACATAAAAATAATGAAGGGTAAATTATGTATTTTAGCATAGGCGATTCAAGTCTATTTGCAGCCCAAGGGAAAACAATTAATTAAGATCTTTTATAATTTTTTGCAGTATAATTTTTATTATTTAGATTGGGGCACTTTATATTTGTATTATAATTTGGAATAAAATATGATTTATTATTATTTTTTTGGGTCTAAAATAATAAAAGAGGTGTATATATAATGATAAGACCCTTTTTATTAGGGGTGGGCGCGGGTCGGTTGCGGCCATAGAACCTCCAATTCACCATCCGTCCGCCAGATTGGCGGATTGGAGAAAATCAATCCGCATCCATCCGCCAATCCAGCGGATGTGGATTGAGCGGATTGGCGGTTTGGCGGATGGATGCGAATCGGTTTGGCGATTTGAAATTTTATAAATTTTCAACATAGTTCAACTTGTACACTTCCTCAAAAAAAAAAAAAAATATTACAGTCAATGACTTAAAAAAGTATTGCAATTACTGCATGCCTCATCCAAAGAAAGAAAGTTTGAAACTTTAGAATATCAAAATCGCTGCATGCCTCATCCACATATTATAATCACAACATTCCTTATCCACATAAAGTATTACAATATGTGATTCTTAAAATATAAAAACAATTCAAACCACAAAAACCATGAACATAGCAGTAGTAGAGATTGTATGTCTCTGTATTGTTACATTTATATATGTTTTTGAAAACAAAAATCAACCAACATATATCATATTTTCTATTTATTACTTTTAGAGTTAGATTTATAAACCAAAAAATATAAATAAATAATACGTTTATTTTTTTCAATTCAAAAAATATATTCAAGTTGAAAATTTTTTTTCAACAGAATATTTAAACTCTTTTTCAATTGAAAATACAAACAAAATATTTAAATAAATTGAAAACACAAAGTCTTATAAATTATTAAGGGTGCTCGCGGTTTGGCGGTTCGGTTGCAGCCAAAGGAATCTCA